TCCTATACAGAAGATTCACCTTCCCAATTCAATTTCTAGAAAGGATATCTTCAGGGCTATTCTCTCCAAAGTCTATACACATCAGAACAAACTCTCAATCTGGATTCCAAGAGTCTAGCCCCACCCACACCAATAACAGTGCTAGATAGTCCAAGGGCCAAAACTGTAGAAGAGAAGAAAAACTAAAAAAGTAGAAAAGAAATCCGGATGCCAAGAGTCTACCCTCCCTAATAACAGTGCTAGATAGCTCGAATTCGCCAAATACTCGGATGATCCTATGGTACTATATTAATTGTTACATAAAAGCCTGATTTGGGCTGCAAAGTGGTCCTAGTTGAGTTTAAGAATTTTCCTTTTCTGATTACTTTCTTCTAAATTCTAAATTAATTAAGTAATTTCTTCATTTTATATTTTTAATGTGGGGTCTGGTCTGGTCATTGAAAGTCATTAATTAGGCTTAGTTTAAATTTGTTTGAGGTTCAAAAGCCATTATGTAAGTAGGATAGAGGTTATAGTTTTTTTCACGTACTTGGGTGGGCAATTGCAATTTCATAAATATGGTAAATAGTAAACCGAATACCCCAGTTACAACCCCCCCCACGGCCCAAACACGCATAAGAACTGGGATTTGTTTGCTCTTGGAACTTGTGTTGGGTTTGGTTTTTTTCTATAAACCTTGATTTTCTTCTTCTAATATTTCCCTCATTTATTCCTTACCTTCTTTAGTTTTTCTTTTCTTCTACAGGTTTGATCTAAGAATCAGTTGAAGCTATAATTCAATCTATTAAAACACATCAACCTTATTGATTCAACATGTCCTCAACCTCCAAATAAGATTCTTCGATTTTTGTCAAGTTCCTAGAAAACCTAGAATAGAAAGTTCTGCCTAGAAGTAAATCAATGATCCAACTCAACCCTAGAATATCCCGACCAAAACATATTTATAAACCAACAGCCTCTATGTCTCACCTATTCACACCCTCAGCACCTCTTGCTTTTCTTTATTGGTAACTGGAAACTTTATTCAGCCCATTTTGCTTAGCTCATCATATATTTTCCTAGATATCAAACATCCTCTACTATTGAAAATTCTATGTATGCAGGATTTTTAACATGTTCTCACTCAAAAACCCCTTTATCGAAATCTAAACTTTTCCTACCAATCTTAAACCATTCCTTAGACCTATCCCTATCATCCTACCTCAAATCTGTGTTCGGAATAGATCCCGAGACAGGGTCCCAACAACCTTTGCAGCCATAAGTTGGGAACATCTCCCTTGTCCTTCATGGCAAGATGTTCCCAATGTATAGCTGCAATGGCCATTGGGACAGGTTGTTGGAACCATGTGTTGGGACTATATCCGGTCTCCCCAAATCCTAGCTTTAAACCCTGCCATAAACCTAATTCTCTTCACTTTTTCTTTCCCTTTTACAACATGTTGAAGGCATTTTTTTAATCCAAATAATATTTAAATAAATTAGCTCAAATAAGTGGGTCGGCTAGTCTGCTAGCCAAATCATTAAAACTATAAAAAAGCATCCCGTATGGGAGTTCCCTCTCTTTAAGTGGGAGGGACAGGTGTCCTTCACCTAGGAGGAGGAGGTAGTTACATAACTACCCCACTCCCTATTTAAGCTCCTTAAGGGGAAGCTAGAAGCAGAAACGGAAAGACTCTTCGGAGAAAATTGTCACAAGAGATTCTTAAGAAAATTGTCCACTTACAGTTTGTTGATGATACAATTCTATTTTGTGAGGAGGAGGATGTGAGATGGGCCAAAAACTTAAGTTGGTGATTCAAGTGTTTGAACAAATGTCAAATATGAAGGTGAACTTCGATGAGAGCTGTGTGGTGGGGATCAATATGGAAGAAAGAGCTATATTGAAGAGGGCTGAAGCTTTGGGTTGTACAGTGTCTCAATGACCACTAAACTATCTAGGGATGCCCTTTAGGGGATAACCCGAGGAAAGAGAGCTTTTGGAGCTCCGTAATTGATAGATTTGCTAAGAAGCTAACCTCTTGGAAGAAGAACTATTTACCTCTGGGTGGTAGAATTACTTTGATCAAGTCTACAATAGCTAGTTTGTCTGTGTATTACTTATCGATTTTTAGGATCCCAGTGAAGATAAGTAGGAGTTTGGAGAAGTTAATGAGAGATTTCTTGAGGGAACCAGGGGAGAAAAGGAAGGATCACAGGGTGAATTGGGAACTAGTCTCTAGGAGTAGGGCTGACGAAGGGTTAGGTTTAAGTCACATTCAGAGGAAAAATGAAGCCTTGTAGGGGAAATGGCTGTAGAGGTTGGGAGGTGAGGGATAAATTGTGGACAAGGGTAATTTTAAGTATTCACGGTCAGGCAGATGATGGTTGGGGCGCTGGGACTTTGGCAAGGTCTGTTGGTGCCTCTCCTTGGAAATCTATACATGCCATTCTTCCTTCCTTTTTGCAGCACATCAGGTATGACCTCTGCTCTGGGAATTAGGTAAAGTTTTGGGAGCACATTTGGGTGGGTGAGATACCTTTGAAAAACCAATTCCCTTCCTTGTTTTCACTCTCCCGATTTAAGGGCAAGGTCGTGTCCAGTTTTCTAGTTCCTTCTCAGTCTAATTTTGGGTTTGATTGGGATCTGGGGCTTAGAAGAGGCTTAAGGGATGTAGATGTTGAAAATGCCATGAGTCTGGTTCAGATCTTAGACCAGGTGGTGATGGATCCCTTTGAGAGGGATAAGAGACTGTGGACCCTAACTCACTCTAGAACCTTCTGTTGTGCCTCTTTCTTTAAGTCCCTATTGCCTTCATCCAGTCCATTTGCACAAAATTTTCCATTAAGGATGTTTGGGGTGAGTCGATTCCTCCAAGGGTTGGAGCCTTTTGTTGGGAAGCCTTCCTCGGAAGATGTAATACATGTGACGTACTCCAAAGAATAAGGCCTTTTTGGTGCTTGTCTCTGAATTGGTGCATTCTTTGCAAGGCTAATGGTGAAAGCTCCTACCACTTATTAGGTTGGCCAAACAAAAGGGGAAGAATAATGTGGAAATGTGTGAGGGCTGTTGTTTGTTGGACTCTTTGGGAGGAAAGGAACACCAGAATTTTCTCTAAAATTTAAAGAAGTAAAGAATGCCTTATTGAAGTAGTAACAGTGAGGGTGGTACATTGGTTGAAATCCTTGGACCTGTTTGTTGATATTTCTACGGATATGTTGCTGAATAGCTGGCTGGAGGTGGCAAATTCTGCTCTGCTCGCTCTTTAATTTGTCTTGTGTGGTCACCACCAGGAAGTGGACTTATAAAGCTAAACTTCGATGGAAGTAGTGAAGGAAATCCAGGTCCATCAGGTGTAGGAGGGGTTTTCAGAGATGAGGGTGGGAAGGTGCTCGCTTTGTATTCAGGTTCCATTGGGTTTGGAGACTCTCTCAAAGCTGAGGTCTATGCAGTACTGGAGGGTATAAGGAAGTCTAAGGAACTGAATATACAAAAGTTAGTTGTTGAAGGGGACTCAAAGCTGGTCTTACGTTGGTTACAAGAAGGTAGTGGACTTTGGAAATATGCTATGAGAGAGGGGAGATTAATTGGCTAAGTAGAGGACTGGAAATCAAGTTTCAGTGGGTCAAGAGAACAGCAAATGCATTTGGTGATGCTTTGGCAAAGCAGGGGGTGGGAAGGGATCAAATGTTTTGGGCTGTTATGTAAATTTTTCCTTTTTGTTATCTACCCGGAGAGAATTAAGCCCGTTTATCTCTCTTTGGAGCGCTGTAACTAAATTCTTTTAACTAATGAATTGGCTAAGTAGAGGACTGGAAATCAAGTTTCAGTGGATCAAGAGAACAGCAAATGCATTTGGTGATGCTTTGGCAAAGCAGGGGGTGGGAAGGGATCAAATGTTTTGGGCTGTTCTGTAAATTTTTCCTTTTTGTTATCTACCCGGAAAGAATTAAGCCTATTTATCTCTCTTTGGAGCGCTGTAACTAAATTCTTTTAATCTAATGAATTCCAGTTATTGATCAAAAAAAAAAAAAAGAAAAGCAAACATAAGGAGAGATGATCAAGGGGAGGCAGGGAAGGAAAAGAAGTCTCGCTAATACAGGTAGGAAAAGGAACGTCCTCTCAAAGAATACTTCCTATATACGTCCTCTGCTATGTATCCTTCTTTCTCTCTCTTTTATTTTCAGTTTTGAGAAAGGAAATAGAGGGAAATAAACCATCTACAACCAGGTACCTCTACTTGGTTGACTATGGTCCCTCTTCCAAGACAAAGCTTGGGATTAAAACCATCTACAATCTAATTCTCAAAGACTGATTATGGTTCCCTTCAAATGAAAATGAAGAACAGGGGAATAAAATCGTCTACAATCAAATATGCAATTTGATTGACTACGGTTCCCTTCTTGTCTGCAAAAATCCAAAGGGTTAAGGCTGTCTACAATCATAATTTCATTTGATTGGCTACAGCTTATTGTGAAGAAAGGAGTGAGAAGGAAATCTTCTTTGTATCAAAAAGAAAAGAGAGAAATTTATTGTTGTAGAAGTTTGTTTTCTTCTCACTCTTGTACACTTGATGTAAAAGAATTGTAAGTGAAAAGTTCTTTTAAAGTACTCTATTGTTCTTCTCTTTTGTTCTGTGCATTCATTTCTCCAAGTCAGAATCAAAAGGTGTTCTCTACTTTCCTGTGGAGATGTAATTAAGGGGAACAATCTGTATGATTCCCTAAATGGGCTTACCCAAAATAATAAAAACTCAATCACTTGATTGAGTGAACTATGATGCATGAGAATTTATTAAAATTTTCACACCAACACAACAATCCCCATTTTTTTGGTGAAATAGTCCCCTATTTACAGCACCTACCAAGTATTTGTAGAATCTTTCATCCATCCTACAACACTATCAAAAGTTTGTATATTAACAAGGGTATTTTCAGAAAAGGAATATAAGAATTATCAGGCTGGCTACAATATTCCAACATGAAAGACATGATATTATCATATTTCAGTTCATTCAACTTACAACATCCTTTCGTATTCTTTCAAGTTCATCGGGAGTTTTTACAGAAAACTTTTGTTCGTAGTACCTTTCTTTCCAACCTGGGTCTCCCAATTTGACCTGATAGCATGAAATGTTAGAACCAACTTAGAATTAAACGATCGATACAAATCAGAGATAAATCCAGCAAATAGCACCTCCTATTATAAAACAAAAGACTGCATTATTGTAGGCTTCTAAAGAAGAGTAATTACAATTTAGATAAATAGTATGTCAAAAAGAAAGAATAAAACCAAGCAAGATGCAGCTGCAAATTAAAACCTTGTCTTCCTCCATATTTTCTGAGTTAAAGAGGTCCGACTTCTCGCGAATTAATTCTTTCAGCTTCATCTTCAATTCTTCCTTGTTTTCATGTATCTAGAACCACGAGAAAAGAACGAAATAACTCCACAAACATCATCTAGAAAATTTAATAATTCGTTTATTTGCAACATTAACTTAATCAATCCCTCCCTTCTAGTACAAATTGTATCAAACAAATGGCCAGCTTAATATAAGATATTGCAAGATAACCATACTTACCATTGCAAGACTATTTTCTGCTTCAACAATAGCAGCGCCTATAGTGGACCCTGAGGACAAGCATGCAACTTTTCGGGGGCGCAGATTTTCTTTAATAACAGACATTGAACTAGTTGAACTGTTATTAGATCCTTTTTGCTTGTATGGCGAGGGTGAAGGTGCAGAAGCAAGACGAGAACCATGAAAGTGAGCAACTGCAACCAGAGAATCAGGCATGACTTGAGGTTCAGCATCATCTCCTCTTTTTGCTTGTGCCTTTTCACGCTTTATTCTTTCTGCCTGCCGCTGAAAAATTATTCAGTAAAATTTTTATATTAGCACAGTTACTGTAGAAAAACATGGATGAAGAACTACCACATAATTTAAAATAGCCCTATCATATTTAGAATCAGATGTCTGTGCACCAAACACTCTTTCTACAGACAAGCAACAAACTATTTGCATGGATATCTTTATATACGTATAAGCAGATTGTACTCCAGTAGGATCAAACATCAAGGACAACGAGAACAATTTTGTAGTGAACCCATGTCCATGTTAGGCAATCAGGTGATGCCAAGTTGGGACTCTGAAAGATCAACCTGGGAATAATATTCTGAAAGCCAGAAAAGGGGAGGTTCATGGGTCAGAGGTTCAACCGGAGTTCGAACCCTGATGACCTGGCATATACTTATATATACTATGGGTCATATAAATACTATATATAATTTATTTTACAACTTTTATTATACTTAAATATGGTGGATGGATGGCAAGTTCCTTAATTTTTAAAACAAATGACCAGGGTTAAAGTCTCTTAATTTACACTTTATATAAAATACATGTGTAATAAAGTAATATATAATAAAGAATCATCAACTAACACAATTAAAAGGTGGATTAGTGGTAACTAAGCAATAAATGAAAATGTGTCTTGTCACACACATTTTAATATTTCAATTATTTAATGACCCAGGCGGTTTCATGGAACCAGGACCTGTTCACCAGTTTTCCAGTTAAACCAGCCAGTCAGTCGATTTTCACCAGGTTTTTAGCAATTACAGTTGTTGGGGTAAAACTGAACCGGCCAGGCCCCAGTTCAACCAGTCCAATCCGGTTCCCTAAACACTACCTGGGAATGGGGAAAAAAAAAAGTAAAAAGAAGTTTCCAACATGCTTCTACACTTTTCTTTTATATATACATACATATATATATATATATATAATATAGAATTATATTACTATAAATATATCCAGAAAAGGGGAAAACCCCACATGGTACATCAATCCTCACCCTACATGATTGATGGGTTAGAACTTAGAACCATGTACACCTGTATACATGTATGCCCATTTATACATCTAAGTAAAGATGTATAAATTATACAAAGGGAATGCCAAATGTTATGTAAAAAAAATCCTGCTTAACATTTATTTAACAACCCTGTGCATAAAGTAAATATCTTTAAAGAAGCCATCTTAGAAATCACATTACGGAACCAACCTGGTGCAGTCGAGCTCTTTTCTGAAATATTTTATCCTCAAAGGACCCGACTGCCTGAATGAAATGCTCCACCCTGCTCAAATTTGGCTGAGAACCAAAAAAGAAACATGTTCCAAAAATAAGAAACAAGCATTATTATGGAAAGCAATAACAAACCAACTTTGATAATTATACTTGGACCAATTTATGGAAGCTAAGATGGCAAACCGATACCTTGCTTGAGTTAGTCAAGTAGCCACCCATTGCCCCAAATTCCTTTTTGTAAACAGCCAACAGCAAGTTGATAGCACCCTAAATATCAAGAAGATAAAACAAGAGAGAGTGTTTAAAAACTATAATGATTCTTTGACAGTAAGATTAAAGTAGTATAATCCTACAAAATCTTCCCCAATTTGGTTGCTTATGGGATCTTTGAAGCTGGACCTCAGATATCAACAGAGCAATTTCTAGTGAACAATCAAAACCATGTCCAATTAATTTAGAATTTGACTGCCTAATTTTCCAGGTAGCTCCCTTACAATAGAAATTCTATATGGACTTGATAAGAAGAGGTATGGAGATTAGTCAACTCATTACGAATGAGCTTCCTGGAGTAAACTTTGGGTAAAATGGCACAACTTCTCTAATTGTATCTCAGGAATTGGTTTGAATGGAAGATCACCGACTATCGTCACACAACCCTATTTCAATATCTGTTTATATACATTACAAACAAAGCATTTACAATTGCAAAGGTGCCCCTGAGAAGAGCTAGGGGCTAAATTTCTTATAATGAAAGTACAATAAAGTACAATAATGTTGTCCATCAGACTCATGCTAATATGATAAAATAATTCACCTCTAGAGGTGTATACAAGGATTGAAATATCAATACAATACATCCAATGTGGGGCATATCGTATCGGTATCGTTACAAACCGACACGGGATACACAACGACTGGATGTTTATCCTGCCAGTTGTGCATATCAAGCCGATAAGGGTGCATATCGGTCCGTATCGTGTTGTATCGGCCAATACGTACCGATACGGACCGATACACAACCATGCGCCCATGCATCTTGCTACTAAAAAAGAGGATGGAGTGATTTGAACCAGTTCAAGTAGCGCAACAGCACTTAGTGCTTAAGCTCTTAAACCACCAAACGGTTTTGCTTCTTATGATAATACGTGAAATAAAAATACTTTTATTAACTTTATTATCAAAATGTAATCCAAATAAATAATACATATTTATGTTTAACAACTCCAATTAAAAATTAAAAAGCATAATATTCAAAATTAATATTTTATAAAACAGTGGAATAAATAATCAATCAAATCCACGTTTATATCAAAAGATTTTTTTTCACTTCAGTATATCAAATGACTATTTCAATCTCAAGATTTAGTACTTAAAATTTACAAGTTTTCACATGGCATATATCTTAAAATTATTATATATTTTTTAAACTATTAATTAATATTTTATTTACATTAAATAAGAATGTATTTATTATTTACAAAAATAAATTATTTACAAAATATTCAAGAATATAATATTACATTGAGTCTATCAAATCTACTAATCTACATTATATCAAAAATATATTTTTTAATTTTATAAAAATTACAGAAATAAAAACATTAATAATATAATAATAATTTTAGTAATTAAAATTATGAATTTGTATATGATATGTATATTGGAAAATTTAATACATATGGTATATTTTAAGCCAAGAGTATAGATTTTTATAAATTATTAATTGATATTAATTTGCATTTGAGAATTTAATATTTTGTTGACTGTTTTGTTAATGTAAAAAAGCAAAAATAGTAAAATAGAAAATAATTAAAATATAATAGGTGCATATATTTTGTGTTTTGGACTCTTGATTGATGTATCATCAATAAAATTGTACGATATATCTATGCATCTTATTATATTAATTGTAATATATTTTTTCATATACACCATTAAAATATACATTTTTAATGTATTTATACATTATTTGTGGCTATTTGACCTGTTTCTATTTAACAGGCTGTTTCTATGTTTTTCCTTTTTTTACGATAGGTAATGAAATTTAGAAGGTCATTGGTTGCTACAAAATTTAGGGAATTAGCCTATGGATTAGAGATGTCTTTTAACAAAATCCATCACCTGGTCAATTCTTGGGCACCTAACCAACTAGGCTCTCTATTGTCACCTAGCTTCACCTTAGTTTTTACCTTAACACTATGCTAGGTTAAAACATCCACAAGAAAGAGATCAATGATGGTAAAAGCAATGAAAATGAGCTTTTAAAATATGCATAGTTTGCATTTACATTTTATAATGCATATATCGCTGCCACACATATGCATCTAATGATATCCCTATCATTTTTTTAATTATCTGGGGACTCAGATTTATCAAGAAAAAAGGACAAAGCTATTATTGTACAATAAGGTCACACCCACCCTAACAATGACACACATCCCTGCTATACACATTGAATTTCATTATCTTCAAAACAAAAGAATCAAAATTAGTGCATGGCGAACCTCTCGAATCTCCAACGTGGGCATATGCGGCAAAAAATCATTCCCAACAAAGAAACACATGAATATAAAGTCATCCACGATGCATTCAAAATCTATCTCAAACGGAGGATTAGGAATTCTCATGTCAAACTCCAGGTACTCTCTGAGAGTCCAGATGTTTAGAAACTGCAACAATAGTAGAAGTTTAAGAGATTAGGAACAAAGACAACCAATAAACATAAAACGACTATTCCAACACCATCCAAGTTCACACCATTAGCATGGATAGAATTCAATACTGACCTGGTAAGGTTTCTTGGAGACAGCAGCACTTTCACCTTTCTCATCAAATTCCCCTGACTTTCTTTTTGCTTTTCCTTCACAATCTGCTGCTAAATGACCCATTTGACCACAAAGGAAGCATTTGTCTTGTTGTCCAGGGGTGAAAACAATCTGAAATGTGCCACTAGTAAGTCACATGGAAAACAAAGTTTTCACAAGCACAAAATAAATTGCATACATAAAAGGAAGAGAATAAACAAAATATATATAAGAAAACACAAATGGACCCACAATCACTTGCTATTGAGCTCCAGATTCATGCCTGCTTCTCTCTTCCTCTAAATGAAATAATTATAGTTACTTTTAAAAAACCAATTTAAAAGAATGGAGTTTGCATGAGTACACGTCCAATTTTTTCGTATGCCACTCCTTTTAGTAATCGTGCTCATTCAAGTGAATGATAACCTCAATTCAAGATTCAGAACTCATCAAGGAACATATGCATACTAACCTCTCGCAGGATTGAGAAATGAACTTCATGAGTAGCCAATGCCAACATGATTAAATCTGCATCCTGACATATAGTTATGGCACATGACAATAAACAATAATTAGATTGTAGAAAATGCATCAAAAAATACACAGAATCAAAGCAAAAAACATGTCTTTCTCTTGCATATAGGAAGAGCATGTGTTGAAGAAAAACACATACCAAACCATACAAGCAATGGCGTGTATTTGGATCATATCCAGATAGGTTTCTCTGAAGACGAATGTAAGACATAATTTTGTGTTCCCCTTCACCAGGAACATTTGCATCAGAAAGGATAACCTTCAAAAGAATTAAATGATGAGAAAACAAAGCAAGGATGACTTCCATTAATCATTGTGACAGGAGAAACAAAAGAAGAAAATCAATTTATCCATGAATCGCATGTGCAGAAACATGGATTGAAGACAAAACCTTAATTGATCGCCATCCAGGATCATTGTTTAGTCTAAGATGAATATAGTACTGCAGTGCAACTGACAAAATAGCCATGAACTCAGTTCCAGGAGTGATAATATTTGAATCAAAGACTTGTGACGCTTGTTTTGGCGGAAGTTTTCTGCCCTCCTTCTCAAACTCTTCTCGAAGCCGTTCTTCTTCAGCTGCCTGGACAAGAAGTTTGAAGAAACTGAAGTAACAAGCATAAAAAAGGGTCATCACTCAACGTCGACCCTAGCTATCTAGGGTCTTGGGAGGGCTAGACTGGATACAATTTGGGTTTCTTTTTTTTTGGCACAAAGTAGCCACTCTCAGACGCGAGGCAGCAATCTCACACTTGCAGCCTAAGATTTTACCATTACACCAAGCAATGACTCCTTGAAGTAGTATAACTAAACAAATAAATTTTCTTCTTTATTTATCATCAAAAAAATGACTCCATGAAGTAACAAACATAGCTAAATAAATATAACTCAACAACAATAGAATGTAACATCAAGCATGAAAGTCTCACTGAAATGGATCTCAAAATTGGCTATTCCATGGCAGATTAATGTATGATTATTCAACATTTATGCAGTGTTTGACCTGCCCTGAACTTGGAGTTCACAATTTAGCCATGGAATGGCCAAACAGGACTTATCTAGCCACCCATATAGTTGAGTAAAGGTGCTATTGTGTAGAACTAAATTGACTTTTGACCTTGTTTCTGATCCAAGAACAATAAGAGGATTGAGAAACAAAGGCAGATTTACAAGACAATTACCCCAATGCACCTACCGCTTCTGCTGCATCTTTGGCTGCCCTGAAACGCCTAGACCGTTGCTGATTCATTTTGGCCCTTGGAGCAACACCATCTGAACTTATTTTCAAATAGTTAATATTCTACATATTACAAAAATTGATTAGTGACACTATAAAAAGTAATACTTTATGACAATTCTCACCAATAGCCATGTAAAGAAGCTTCCTGGGCCGCACCATCACAAAAAGTCGATCAATATAATTGAATATGTTCTCAAATACCTCATCAAATGTTGTAGGAGAAGGCTGGATTAAACAAATAAATGAAAATAAATATGATCAATTAAAATATGCCAGCGCATGGTATATGATCCAATTCTACTAAATAAATACTTTTTTGAGAGAAAGTAAAGTATCATTGCATTAAATATGAACAAAATATACAGCAAGATGAAGTGCTAAAGGAACCAGAAAACTGATCTCTCTAAACTTGAACCCCACCCTGCTTTAAAAAAAGATTATCCTGTACAAAAATGGACTCAAAACCTATACCCCTAACCAGCTTGTTACCAGACAACCATGAAAACATCTTTCCCACAATCTTCTGAAAAATGGAATCAGTAGAACTTGTCTTATTTTTGAAAACCCAACTGTTTCTTTCTTGCCACAGGCACCAAAATCCACTGCTGGGGTTAAATTCCAAACTAATCTTCCTCTTTTACTCAAGCCCTCCCCACTCTCCAACCTTTTACAAAATCCTGTACTGAACCTGGGCAGCAACTTTTCACTTCAAATAATTGTGAGATTATGTTTCAGATCTCTGAAGAAAATTTGCAGTGCAAGTAATGGATGATTCACTGTTTCCAGATGTCCTTCGCATAGGACACAGCTATTTGAGTCCAGCAGAGCACCTTTCCGAGAGAGGTTATCCCTAGTAAGTATTCTGTTGAGGTAAGCCGTCCATACAGAAAATGAAATCTTTGAAGGCACATTTTTACTCCAAATGATGTTGGTTGGAACTGAAAGTCCTTCTGAACTGTCCACCACCTTGTAAAAAGATTTGACTGTAAACTTTCCAGTCTTCTCCCACCTCCAGATTCTACCATCAGCCCTTGCTGCCTCGACTTGAGTACTGTAAAGGAGTTGCAGAAGTTCCGTCCATCCCTCCACTTCCCAATTATTTAGATTCCTCCTGAATTGTGGGATCCAAACCACATTAATGCATTATCATCTTGGATTTGCAAACCTTCAGCAACCTTAGCTTCCTTATTTGCTGCAACTTCAAACAAAACAGGGAACCTCTCGTTCAAAGGTCTCTCCCCACACCAAACATCCTTCCAGAATTTGACCCTCTCCCCATTTCCTACTTTGAATTTCACACCTTTTGCAAACCAATGGTAAGATTTCTCAATACCTTTCCAAACCGAGCATCCATAGGAGTGATTTGAAGTTCCTGGATCCCATCCCATATTTCTAACACCATACTTGGCCTGCACCACACTTTTCCACAGCCCTACTTGACTTTCCCCATATCTCCAAAACCACTTCCCCAGCAGAGCAGTATTGATACTTTCCACCCTTCTAACCCCCAGACCCCCTATAGCTTTGGGCTGAGATACCTTGTTCCGGTTCACCAAGTAGTATTTCTGCACTTTCCAGCCTCTCCAGCTGAGGCATAGGGAATGTCTCTCATGCCCTCAATCTCCTCAGAAGTCTTAGGAGACATCTTCTTGGAGAGAGTGACTCCATGCCTGAAAGGAACATTTCATTTCTTGGAGTTCTCCATGCTGTATCTTTTGACAATTTTGTCAATGTAAGCAGCCTGGGATAATCCAATTATCCGCTTCGATYTMTCTCTATARAGTYRAAGACCCAGTATATATGAAGCTTCTCCAAGATCTTTCATGGAGAACTGCTGTTATAGCCATACCTTGACCGAAGTCAACATTCCTACATCATTCCCAATGAGTAGGAWATCGTCCACGTACAACACCAAAAAGGTGATCTTATCCCCACTGGACTTCCTGTAAACATAGGGCTCATCCGGATTCTGCTCAAAGTCAAACGTTTTGACTGCAGAATTAAAACGGATGTTCCAACTCCTATGATGAGGTGTYGCAATTGAAAAAAGGGCCACCTCGCGCTCAATTTACAAAAACAAATGAAAAGTYGGGCCTGGGTCTACATAACCCGATCCAAAAGTCTAATTTGGGCCAGGTCTTTCAAGTTGGATCATGTGACCCTTTTAAAAGGCATGCGCAAAGCTCCCTTGCGCCGATGGGGGACGATGATTGTGGTCTATTGTCGTCCCAAAGTGTGCCTATCTGCTCGAATCGTCCCCAAACAGGAACGACAATCAGAAAACCCTCCCCTCTTCCTCCGGTTGTGGGAAAGACGTCGGCGACTAGGTTGAAGCTGCATTGGAAACCGACGACTGAAGAAAACTCCACGACGCCTGAGAAGCCAAACCCTCGCTACAATAGGGTCTCGCAAGGAGACTTTGAAGATGACTTAGATTGGGAGACGTTAAGAGATGTGGAAGAAGACGAGGGTGATCTGTTGTCAAGTATTGGTAGCATCAACTCGACAAAGACCTGCAAATTTTTAGACTCTAAAGCTTTCGAAACTGAACTGCTCTTCTCTGAAGATGTTGGTACGGAGATTCTGGAGATACAGGATTTAGGGGCTGGTAACCTTACTGCGGAAAGTGGAAGGCCTACAAGAGATTCTCAGAGAAAGAAGAAAATAGATACAAATCAAGAACAAAGACAGGGTGGCAGTTTTGTGGAGATGGGTTTCCAAAGCAAACCGACTTTGGAACCACTTGAGGAACAACTCCCCCCAATTGCACAGGTGGACACTGTACCCGAACCTGAATCATTTGGGTTTGTCTTTGGAGGAATCGATGAAAACCARATTCAAGATCAGGGAGTCTCTTCCCCCCTTCCTCTCAATCCAGTTCTTTCTTCGCCCCCACTTCTCTGTCAAAACTCATTTGATTTTTATCCATGTAGTAACCTTCACCCTTTGGATTTTGCAGTTCCAGCTGTTGAAACGTCACTGGTGGCGGATAATGACCCATGTGCAATAGAAAAAGGAGGGGGTGGTGGCAAAGATAATGAGGAGAAATTGTTTAATGCGATGGTTTTGGAAAAGGATGAGGGGGAAATGAAGTTGTTGCAGGTACCCAAGAGAAGGAAAAGAATGACTGCCGTTTGGATAATAGCAGCCATTCCTGCCGGATTGGGTACAAGGAGAGCAGATAATTTGGGAGGGAGGACAACACACTTTCCACCAGGGTAACCTTGCCTCCATAAGAAAGATACTTGGTTTTCCAGGATGTAGCTTCCATAGTTGTCAAGGTGACGCCTAGGCGGTTTTTCATGGTCACCTTGCCCAAACGCCCCAGGTTTTAAATACTAGGCGCCTGCCCAGAGACTTAGGCAGGCGCCTAATATACATATATAAGAAAACTATTTTTTTAATTTATTGTTTTGATTTTTTATTGGTTGTTGTATTCTTTTAAAATACGTCTGCTACATGGTATCATTTTCATATTAAGACAAGTTACAACTGAAAGTATAATCTCCATTTTCTTTTCTCTGTCAAAGGGCTTTCTTTCGATTGGAGAGGGAGGGGAACCGAACAACACTTCAAGCTCAAGCCCCAGCCGAACTCCATTGCACCTCAGCTCCGGCAGCGGCAGGTAAGTTTTTCTTCTTCAGTTTCTTCTTCTTCTTCAACATTTTTTCCTTTTTTTCGAAAAAAAACAGTCCGCCAGGCCAGGCTCCAGTCCTCCCTGATTAATAATGAAAAATGTGATCTTCTTCCCTGATTAATAATGAAAAATGAAAAATGTATTCTTTCTTATACTCTCTTCACTTGCTGAAAGTTTGCAACTGTCTAGACAATATGCCAAAAACTTTAGACCTTGCATAAGAGATTTACAAAGCAATTCAATATCCCTTCCGCATGGCAGTGGACTTTCTCCTTCCCTTGCCCACGGAAATAATTATTGTGATGCTGGATGCGGCGGGCACTAATATTTCTACCCATTGTCATAATTCAAAAGACGCTTGCAGGGTAGCAGCTAATGAAATATAACCATATAAGCTGCTTGCCAAACATTTGGTGCATCTTCAAATGTATTTGCAAATGCATGTATAGTTTCTTTCACTAATTCAAACTTAAAAGCATCATTTCCATAGGAAAAAAAAAACAAAAAAAAAGAAAAGAAAAGAAGATGAATGAAGAAAAAAATCCGACAAACTCAACAGCTGAATAATAATTGGAAATAAGTATTGCAATGCTGGATGCAGCGGGCACTAATATTTCTACCCATTGTCATAATTCAAAAGACGCTTGCAGTGTAGCAGCTAATGAAATATAACTATACAAGCCGCTTGCCCAACATTTGATGCATCTTCAAATGTATTTGCAAATGCACATATAGTTTCTTTCACTAATTCAAACTTAAAAGCATCATTTCCATAGGAAAAAATACCAAAAAAAAAAGAAAAGAAAAGAACATGAATGAAGAAAAAAATCCGACAAACTCAACAACGGAATAATAATTGGAAATAATTATTGCAATGCTGGATGCAGCGGGCACTAATATTTCTACCCATTGTCATAATTCAAAAGACGCTAGCAGTGTAGCAGCTAATGAAATATAACTATACAAGCCACTTGCCGAACATTTGGTGCATCTTCAAACGTATTTGCAAATGCACGTATAGTTTCTTTCACTAATTCAAACTTAAAAGCATCATTTCCATAGGAAAAAAAAAACAAAGGAAAAGAACATGAATGAAGAAAAAAATCCGACAAACTCAACAGCTGAATACCATTTCGAGATTCTTTTGCGTCATTAACAAAGAGTGTTCACCTATTTCCACTTCCCGAAACAAAGAAGAAAAAGTTGCCCGGTGAGGGAGAGAGAGAGAGAGAGAGAAGCATACCCGGTCTTCAGGATGAAAGCAAGGATGGATGATCCCGTTCATATCGAGATAGAGATTGTCGTATTCGATGTTATTAGGGTTAGGTTTACTGGTGTCAACAGGAATACAAATGCCATCGATTTCGACCGGTTCTTCTTCAACCACGTCCACCACCACTCGTGGATACTTCTCCGCTAACCACCTATAGAAGGCCGGGACTCCCATTGGCAATCAACTCGAACAGACGAACACCCAAGATTCGACTCAGTGCTCTTGAACAACCAGCAGCAGCAGAACCGGAAGCCACAAACCCTAAAAGAGGGAAAATAGATGGGAAGGAGAGAGTCGGGATGGAATATCCCCTTTATATATTAGAAGAAATTCCTTCTTACTAGAAATCCCCTTTATTTGCACTTTTGCAGTCGCAGTCCATTAACAATGAGGGAGGTCAGAGGTGGAGTTAGGACAACCGAAACATCCGCTTCTGAGGATGCATGGATGTTACATAAATATCTTCTTCGTATGCCAGGTCGTGCGTGTTCTGAATCCTGATCGGCTGATCCAATATGTCGGTCTTTTCCAGGATTTCTTCACCACGAAATCACCCAGAGTGAGTTCGGAATTCGGATCTGCCCGGGCCAGTATTGTCCAGTCCGAAAATTTGTGGGCCTGGGTACAAGTTATTCTTCCAAGCCCGGGCCCACATCATGCAAACATTGCGAGCCGGGCCTGAGCCCTAAAACATCTAGCCCCCAATATATATATATAATATCTTCAAAAAAAATGACCCGAACAGCACAGCCCGACCTAGAAGATAAAATTTGATAGTATAATATATAATTTATAATATATGTATTATATAAAATTTATAGTATATGTATATATTTGTAATTTCAAATAATACTATATATTTAAAATATGCATCTATTGATATATGCCTAATATGGTTTACATATTTTTTCAGTAATTTTAAAATATATTCTTATTAATTTATATGCCCAAGATGGGTAGGGCCGAGCCAAGGCAGACCAAGAATCCAAGATGCTCTTACCACCTCGTAAAAAGTAAAAACCTAACTTGAGCCCAGTCCAGCCTGACACATAATTGTCCCCTATAAAATATGTTTTGGGTAAAATAAAGAGAACTATCCTATACTTTGGGGATATAGTGATGCTTAGGTCCTTATACTTTAGGAGCATCGATGATGATTCCTCTAATAAGATTTCTCATAAATCATTAATTTCTTAGAAATCAGAGAAATTAAATATTCGGAAACATTATTATCATGTCGGCCAATTTTTCAAAAACCAGTTATGAGTTTGTTTGGTAATGATTTTTCTTTTATGGGAATTATCTCTCCTATCCACATCAGATGCCACATCATCTAAAAATTAGAGTCGGCTTGAAAAGAGGAATCATTAAAGTTGGTAATTCCTCTTTCGAGGCTAATTTTAATAATTGATTTCTAAATGATTTTTTGATATCTGAAATACTGGCCAATCAAACAACAAAATAATCAATGATTTATGAGAACATTTTCCTTCTCGTTATTGTATCTTAAAAACCCAAGTTTCAAACTTTATGAATGATATGTTTGTGTATTTCATTTACTCAATTTTTAGTTTTGACTGAAATTTTAGGGATTTTTTAAGGGAATCTACCAATCAAGTGTTTAGATATGGTGACGAATGGCGGTGAAGATGATGAAATGGTGACCATGGCCGCCTCTATTGTTGAAGAAATTCAAGGTGAAATTGGTTTTGCTATGGATGGAGGGGTTGGGATGTACTGGGGGAGAAGTCAAGGGAGCTTCGGATATTAATGGTAGAGATCACATGGAAGGGTCTAAAGGTCGCCTTGAATTCTTTGAGAAAGACGATGAAAAAGAACTTTACCAAGGGTCCGAAGAATGATGGTATTGTTGAGTGGAATGAACTTTGAACATTTAAGATTCACCGACAAAATAGTCGTAAGCAAAAGTTAGAACAAAGAAAATGGAAAAAGGTATTGACCAAAAATAAGCATAGACTCACTAAAATAAAGTGAAATAAACAAATCATGGCTCTAATAGAAAACTGGACGGCAATCTAGGAGGGAAAGACGAATAAAGCTCGAAAATACTTCCCTGAAGGAGAAAGACTTGATAACAAAGACAAAATTCATGATGATGCATTCCTAGACGCTTAACTATCACCACAACTGTCAGCATCAGATCGTCTCATGAAAAACGTTCTCCCTCCTTACGATCCTCCATTGCAACAAACAACATCACAAGTTGAGCTTCCATAACAGGCGAAGTATTGGAGTCATCTTGTAATCGCTCTTCCTCTAATAGAACGCAAGGGATGCCATGCTAGTATGAGCAATCCACGATAGTTAAACCCAAAGGGCCAGCACCGATGATGATAGGTCCAAACTGAAGGGATTGTTGGGTTTTATTTTGAAAACTTGAGGAATAATGGAGGGATAATTTGACATTTCATTTTTCCGTTAATACTTAACCATGATGTCAATTGTCAAAAAACTTAGGGTACCTTAAGACAATTTGTAAATATCACGGGTAAAGTTAGTCAATTTCCTAAACCATAGGGGTACTTTAAGAAATTTGTCTTTATTATTATTATTATTATTATTGTTGTTGTTATTTGTAGAGAATTTGATTGACCAAATTATGGTCCCACTTCTTCATATGTTTCCTCTGGTTATAGTGATGTTAGAATGTTTTTTCAATTGTTTGTAGTGATAGGGGTATTCCTGTCATTGTACCTCTTATTATTATAAATCTAATATATATAGCACTTGGGGCAACAGACTAAACAAATCGGAACCCCTTTTTTCTTCTATTATTTTTTTCTCCTATCTTCTTCCTTTTCTCTTATCTTCATCTCTATTTTCTTCTTTTCTGATTACTAAACAGGTCTGAACCTCCTTGGTTTCAAACAACTTGGTATCGGAACTAGGTTTAACATTGGTTAGGGCTCTCATGTAGGTGTAGTCCAGCCAACTACATGAAAACATTTCTAGGGCTGGAAGTTTCATCTTAATCCACCTGGTTCTTGGAGGTCATTAGTGTTGGACAGTTTTGTATGCCCTTAGCTTCAATCAGAACGATGTACTTATGAGTTTATTGTAAATGAATAAAAGTACATATTTGATTCATATTCCTTTGGTATGTTTCTGTGTAATACCCTTCAACTGGACACTTAATGAGACTCGTGTTAGTTTAGAATGTTCACGGTCAGTGGATCGGTCTGGGGAGACCTATCCTGATAAGGCTGATACTGTGGTGCCACCAAGTCGGTTGGGGTGGCCTGTCTCAGCTGCCAGGGTGAGACCCAAGGCACATACAGTGTAGGATTAATTGAATCTTTGAACTGGACCAGATTTCCAGTATTGCCCTGTACCTTGGAGATTAATGTGCAAAACTGNAAAGTTACACCCGACCCCTAGACTCGATTATGATACTGCACTAGGTGTCGGATTGGGCTATCTTTGATGTACCAATCAGTGAGATCCTTGGCGGGTGATCATAGTGACATGATCAGCCCATTTGTCGGACAAAGGTAATGATCGGGGATGCACTCTCACTGATGGAAACCAACACTGCCGGCAGCCGATTTCAATCGTTGACATTTGTTTTGCAAAGTATATATATTTTATATGAGATATAAAAGTATATATATTATGATTTCTAAAATATTTGCAAAAATGTTTTAATTCCCGGGATCCATATAAGTTGAGAGAGCAACACTGTTCCTTGCAGCCGAGGGAGAGGTCCACTCTTGTCGGGCAGTGTATGATCATTATGGGCTGAGAGGTTAAGTGTAAGACCATTGAAGATAATACCTGATTGGCTAATCTTGCATCTGCCCACAGTCCCTAGGAGTTACAAGGTGGCTTGGCGCAGGAACCACTTAGGGTAATTGTTGAGCCCATAAAGCCCATTTGATGGGTTTCAGGGGGTGCACTGTCCATAACAGTGTATTCGGTCACGCCTTGTAACAAAGGCTGGGCCGAACCCATGTGGCTGATGTGTAGATCAATGCTTGGGTCCCACGCCATACAAGGAAACCCAACTGGGCAGTAGTTAGGAAGGTTAAGTGAGCACATAAGCTTAATGAGCATAAAGCCCATTTCGAATTGGACTTATTTAATAAGTTAAATATGGGCGAATTCTGAGATGGATCAGCAGATAGGATAGGGATTAAACCCTATCCACTCAGAGAGTCCAGATCTAAATATAATTTGGATCTGAAAACCTCCTAATAAGATTAGGAGAAGGTTGATCCAATCTGCAGATAAGATAAGGGTTAATCCTTATCACCTAAAGAGATGTTTGATCCAAATAAGATTTGGATCAGCAACTCCTAATTGGATTAGGAGCTGATCCTTTAGGGTTACAAATAAGGAGGGGGCGACATCCTTTAGAGAAGACATACCCACATCCTCTTTAGAGCTGAAAATCACAGAAGAAAGATTTCTGCAATCCCTGCAAAAATCTTTCTTGCCGCCTCCTTCCTGCAGCCGCTAGACATCCAGTTTGATCTCTAGTTGTGGGAGAAGTCAAGATTCGATCTTGACATTAGTTCTTTGAGAAAGAATTGATAGGAAGCTGTGCTCACGTGCCATCCTGTTGTTTCTTGCGAAGGACAGAATTCTTGGAGAAGAATACTACTGATTCTGCTCCATCCTACACTGCGCCATCTTCAGTGGGAGTAGTCTTTGAATCCTTGTTTGGGTGTGAACACCTTCATTGGGGGATATTATTTCACCGTATTAGGTATAACCCTCTCCTACTTCTTTTGGTTCAGATTTGGTTCAGTTTATGGGTTATTTGTTAGAATCCTTTTTGGATAGACACACGTCATAAATATTTTTGTTAGAATCCTTTGGGAGGTTTGGTTGTTTTCTTGGATTGTTTTAAGGTTTCGTTGTGGACTGTATTTTTGAGTTGTGTTGTTTGACAGTGTTGGTCACTTCTACCGCCCACCTTGTGTTCATAGAAAAGGCTTTGATTTTTTTTTTATTATTCTGGGTGTTGTTGGATAATACTTGAAATATTTTTTGTAGGAAAAGGAGTTGGATAGTGTTGTACTTTCCATTCGGTGAATATCAATTGTTCATTACAACATGAAAATGGCTAGAAATAAGAACAAACCATATAGAGGACTTGTAGGAGCTGGGAATTCCATTGACAATAGTTCATTTCATATTACTACGATCAAGTTTGATGGAACAAACTATCTGGAATGGGCCCAATTAGACGTTATGGCCATTGAAGGAAGGGAAAAACTGGGATATATGTGATGGGAGACACAAAGAAACCAACACAGGAGGACCCTTCCCTTACTAAATGGGTCAATGAAAATTATCTAGTTATGACTTGGTTATGCAATTTCATGCAGCCTCATATCAGTAGAAACTATCTTTGGGCAAAGACAGTTAAGGAGATTTGGGACAATATGAAAGAAACCTATTCTCATCGCCTTAATGTTGCTAGAGCATATGAACTGAAAATTGAGGTGAATAGTCTTAAATAGGGGAAGAAACCTGTGTCATTTTATTTCTCCA